ATCTTCCCGAACCCAAGTACGTCAACAACAGGCAGAGTATACATATATATATATATATGTAGATATATATATATATATATATATCTACATATATATATATATATTTATATATATATATATAGGGTTTAGGGTTTAGGGTTTAGGCATATGTAGTTAAGAAGCTTTAGCAGCTTCCATCTGGTGAAAGCCCGCTACTCTGGAGACCGGATGAGGCCAAGGCGTTTAGAAGACTCTGCTATGTGCGCGGTTTTCTAAATTTGCGTCCCTGTTAGGTTCCTTTCGGGTGCGGTATTATTTTGGGACCTGAGAAAGGGACCCTAATTTCGAGCACTGCCCATGTGGGACTGTCAGGGACCCTATTGATTGAAGCTTGAATAGTTCGTGTGCTCTTGATTGTACAGAACCCCTGCTTAAGGCACCTCCAGTGTTTAAAAAACTGCCCATATGTATGTCTTGTCAGATGTGTAACATATACATACCCTTGTTTTGAAGTCGTCATGCGAAGTCTACCGAGGCGATGTGCAACTTCATGATCTTGAAGGCTGCCCCGGAGATTTGGGAAGCGCAGTGCACATATGGGCAGTTCTCTAAATTAGGATCCCTTTTCGGATCCTTTTTAAAATAGGGTGCCGTACTATTTTGGGGACCCAAAAAGGGGGGATCCCTTTTCGAACCCTTTTTTCAATAGGGTGCCGTACTAGTTTGGGGACCCAAAAAAGGGCCCGAATTTAGAGAACTACCCACAAGGTTTGGTGTCGGGGGATGTCAAGGTTCAGGGATTTGGCTGTATAGGTGCACATCCTCACGTAACCCAGAAATCGTGTATCTATATGTATGTGTGTATGTATGTATATGCATGTATGTATATATATATATATGTGTATATATATATATATACATACATATATATATATATATATACATATTGTTTTTTGAGGACGCTTCTTGCCTTCTCGATGTGCAGCTGTATATTTCAATCTCGGGCCCCCAGGAAAAGAGGGTGCAAGCCCCAATATAAGCCTCTCTACGCCGCAGCATGTGGGTCCTCGCAGCTTTACGTTAACCCTAAACAGCAAAAACTTTGTCTTAACCCCAAACCCTAGACCCTAAACCCTAAATCCTAGATCCTAAACCCTAAGCCTATAAGACTTAGAAGATCAGAACGAGGAAAGAGGATATTCGCAGAAGCCAGGCTTGGTTGTCGGGGTGGGGGATGAGTGTACCGATTTCAAGGGTTACCCCGGGGTTTGGAAGGTTTTCGGTTTAGGAAAGCTCAAGGTTTAGGGGAGAGATGTATGATGGGTTTAGGGTTTAGGGTTTAGGCTAACAGAGGGGCTTAACTACTTGGCTCCCAGTAAGACTAAGGAGCTGCGGCCGGAAATGTGCTCCTTGGAGGGCCTTGAACCCTAAACCTCCATGTATTTGTTATCAATGGTAAATAAGAATAACCCATACTACATGTTTATAATTAAATTACTAATATCAAAACCAATGTTTATTCTACAAAAAAACCTCCGAAATCACAACAGGGTTTCTTCAAGGATCAGGCGCGATTGGTTATATCACGTGCTGTGCAGCGTATGTTGGTGTTGTTCAACATGAAGCAGCATGGGCTTCCCAAAGAGAGTATACTTGTGTGAATATGTCCTTTGCACTTCGAAACGTAACTGTTGAACCATGAACCACAACCCACGGCCCAAACCTGCTTGCGTTCAGGTTGTAAGGTCTGAGGTTTGGGAGTAGCCCGCGAGGCAAAAGCAATTCCTTGAATGTGGCGGCGCCGGCATGCTTGCTTTCTGGAAAGCTTGGGCCACTGCATTTTGCCATGTGCCCAGGTGCCGAAAGATTCATCCAACACAATAAGTGCTAGCAAAACTCGTGCACTCGAGTTCTTCGCAAGCGCGGCAGCTACTTGTGCTAATGACTACTGCGCTCCGTAGGGACAAAAGCCCTAAACCATAGCACCACCTTAGAATGAGGATACCTTAGGTTGTCGCCGTTGCACACACCCTCATCGAAAGCACCCATGCTCTAAGGCCCGACTCTGAGCCATGCCCCAGATGATGCTCCCAACCTTTGGTTTAGGACTTAGACCCCTAAAACCTAAACGCCCTACAGTAGAAGCCCCAAAGTTGGAAACCCAATAGCCTCAATCCTCAAGAGTAATGCATAGGGAATCCCAGCACTATTTGTCCTGAATCCGGTTTCCAACTTTTTGGGGCTTACTATAAATCTACCCAAAAGTCCTTAAATGAGGCTTTGGACAAGGCCGATGCTTCTCATGCTAAGCATGAGCCTGCCCAGAGACTCCAAAACCCCTTAATTAAGGAATACACCTTAAATGATAGTAGGAACCCTAATAAGATTGAAGGTACATTCCTTAGTTAAGGGGTTTTGGAGTCTCTGGGTGAGGCCCGACGGAATGCTTCAGCACAGGCTCGAGAGGGAATCCAAAGACCCAGACCATGACCGCCTTTGTCCTCGAAAAGATGGGAAGCCAGGGATGCAATCTTGCATGCATCTGTGTATTGCTCGCAAGCCGACGAGGACACAAAAAAGCTTGTCCATGTTCCCGAGGTCGGAAAGATCATGGCAAGCAAACTGCGATGGGGCATGTGTCTGTACTTGAAGCCAGGGTTCCGAGAGGACCTGCCCCGCTACCACCTCGTTCGTGGCAGCCTGAGCAGTCCATTAGTTCCGCTGGAGAATCAGCAGAGCCCGATAGTGCAGCGAGCCATCATGGACTCGATGACTTGGAGCACAGAAGAGGCCAGCATGCTGAAGATCTTCAAAAGGCGCATTGCTCCTCACCTGTTTATGACCACACAGCCCTGCAAACTCCTACCAGAGACCTAGATAGGTAACTCTCTAGATTCGGGTCCCGTGTCGGATTCCCGAAATACGACGGCACCCTGAAAGAAGGACCCCAAGAGGGGACCCTTACTTAAAGACCCATATAGAACCCAGTTAGTACTATACCCTTAAAGAAACCTTTATAGAAACCCTTAAGGAACTATAGAACCCAGATAGTACCCTTAAAGAAACCTTTGAAGAAACCCTTAAGGAACCCTAAAAGAGATCCTAATTCCCAGATAGTACCCTTAACGAAACTTTTATAGAAACCCTTAAGGAACCCTAAAAGGGACTCTAGAAGGGACCCTAATTTAGAGAACTACCCGGATTCTAGTCCGTCAACCGTAAGGCTCAGCTCTCAATGCGAAACTTCCCGGAGCCGCACCAAAAGTTTCCATAGAGGATTTAGAGTTTAGGGTTTAGGGTTTGGCGGGTTTAGGGCTTAGGGGGTTTAGTTTAGGGTTTAGGGCCCTTATAAGATAATCCAGAAAGCAGTTTCCATTGACAAAGGGAACCTATGTTTTCGTATAGTTCCTGAAGTGCTTACAGCTCCTTGAACCTCTTCAGTCTCCGAAACCCTTCATGAACCAGGATTTAGTGTTTAGGATTCAGGGTTTAGGGTTTTTTCGGGTTTGGGGTTTAGGGTTCAGGGTTTTGGGTGGGTCCAAAGGACCCGAGAATCCGGTAAACGGGTTTAGGATAATAGTTCTGCACGAATGTAGGCTATTCATTCTTCTGGGAAGTATATGACAATTGCTGCAGGCGCTTGCACCTTTAGTATTTAGGGTAAACCCCGAAACCAAAACACCGGAAACCCCGTCACCCCAAAGCCCCACAAGCCCCCAGCACCCCGAAGTCTGGAAAAAAATAACATTCGTTGTTCAATCCCAACTCCCTAAATCCTGATACAACCCATAAAGGAGCCCTGCCAAGGATCCCCTAAGAGGCAGCCGTCAAAAGGGGCCCTAAGGGGTTTTGCTTTCCCTAAAACCCAAATCCAGATAACCCCAAAATCCTCAACCCCCAAACCCCTAAACCCCTAGACCCTAAACCCTGAACCCCAAATCCCTAAACCCCCCTAGACCCTAAACCCTAAACCCCCAAAGCCCATATACCCTAAAACCCCAAACCCCTAAAACCCTAACCCCTAAACCCTCAACCCCCAAACCCCTAATGTTGTCGTCCCTTTAATAA